ATGGAGTAATCATATTGTCGTAGTTGACTTAAATGGTGGACTCACGCGAGTTCCATGTAAGGAATGGAGAACTCAGCCCGTCCGTATTTCCGTTTAGATCGACATAGAAGAGTTTCAAATGCCATTATAACAAATAGTATACTTCTTAATTAGTCATATTTTACCGAGTGCCGATTTCCAAGGCCATACTGTTTCGACATTTAATACCGTAGTTTCTGTGTGCCGAGGAAACTTATACACATGGTAGATCGGTGTTAATAATGTGAGATGTTTACGTCTAGCATCTCGTTACGCGCAGGCCTTGAGCATTTATTCCGACATATTTTTCTTCGCCATCCACGAGAGAAAATGCACAAGTACGCAAAAGAAAGTGGGAAGCGGTTAGTCGTATCGGTAAGTAATCTCCAAGCACATATGTTTGTAATCTCATGTTATGATATATGCACGTTACTCCGGTCACATTTTAACTTGATTTGAAAGAGGCATCGGATTGCTTCGTACCTTCCTCTCTCGCTGCTGATGTAAAGATATTTGAGACTGATTTTCCTAGTGTATGCGCGAAATGAGTCTTGCTGATAATTAATAACATAAGCCGATTATGTTGTCATTCAGCGTGCACGAACCCGCGTCCCTTATATGTCTGGGCCTCGAAGACCATGCTGTCTTTAATGCTCATTGCAACTTATACATTGATCAAACTGAGTACTCAGACCCTTTTGGCCAAAGTGATGATTGCGTTCATGTTTGGGGGCACAGCCATTCCTCGGTACCTGTCGCATGCGCAATAAGCGAGAAAAATGTATGGAAAGGGGATTACACTAAAATTAAAGAACTACTTAACGAGACCTACTGAAGCCCTGCATACGTACCCGACCCAGACGACGCCTGGTGCTTATTTAGGAAATTAACTCAATAATTAGTCGAGAACTATTGCCAATTTAAGAAAAGCTCACGCGTCTCCCGGCCGGAATGGGTGACGCCGATCATAAAAAGGAACTTCAAGAAGGAAATAAGACTGTGGAAAACATACGCCATATACCATCAACCCGAACACTTCTCCAAATTTAAGAAACATCGAAATCTATGTCGAAAACTCCTACGGAGAGAACGATTGACCTTTGAGACAGAACTAGCCAATGGAATGGCTAACAACCCAAAAAGGTTCTTTTCTTACGCTAATAGGGCGAAACGCAATCGAGATCCCATTCCCTGTCTGAAAGATAACCAGTGAAACAAGTTTAGCGATAACTCAGATAAGGGTCACCTCTTGTCTTACTTCTTTATATCTGTGTTTATCGAGGAGCCGCCTTTTAACGAGGATGAATTTCACTTTCCGCATGACATCGTTATATGCATTTTTTTCGAATCTACTAAATTCGCTCCTAAACAGTTGCACTCGTGACATAGCCAGGACTACCGATACTATTTGTTAAACCAATTATTCCTAGAACTTTCTTCTATAGACTACCGATACTGTTTGTTAAACCAATTATTTCTAGAACTTCGTCTTATCGAATTTTCTGTTTATTGATGAGGCCCAATGGGCCTGAAATATACAACTTATTATTATTATTGTCCAGCGGCAGATACAATTAGCATGGTATCGTTCGCAAGAGACATAGTAAGAAAAACCCTAAGATAATTGCAGCCCTCTAAATCACCTGGTTCGGATAGCTCATCAGCGAAACTTCTGAATGAGCTCACAGAACAAGTGGCCTCTCCACTTTCCAAAATCTTCGAAAGTTCGATGGAGAAGGGGGCTCTTCCTACGGACCGGAAACTGTCCAACATACCCCCTCTTTATAAATGAGGAGAGAGAAAGTCGCCTAATTACTTTAGACCAGTTAGTCTGGCAAGCATTTGTTGCAACCTAATGAAGAAGGTAATCAAAACGGGACTGATGAGACATATTGAGGAGAATAAATTGCCAAGTGCAGCGCAAAATCGATTCCGAAGTGGTCGATCTTGTCTCACTAACCTGCAGATCTGCGCATGTCTCAGACGGCTCTTCTATTGCCTATGATAAAGGATTCCCGAGGGAATCCGAAACGTCAAGACAATAAACCTCTTGTTCCAGGGATCGTTTCTTTTTCTTCCGAACTGCTTCCTGGAACTCGGATATTCTCCTCTACTGCTAACATCCACTGAACGCCGGACGAATTCATTGGAAATGGGTTTGTCGGTCGATACGATCTACATTAAATTCAGCAACGCATCCGACAAGATTCCATGCAGACGAATAATATTAAAGCTTCACCAAGTGGGTGTGACTGGAAATCTACTCAAATGGTAAGCCAATTTTCTAACAGGCAGGCGGCAGCGTGTTTGTATTGGAGACACCAAATCAGAATGGGAAACCATTTCCAGTGGGGTTTCGCCGGGAAGCATTTTGGGTCCCATTCTGTTTTTAGTACATATGAACGACTGTATTTATTACCCCACCTGCGATAATGGCATGTTTTCAGACGATCTAAAGATTTGGAAGTCAATCGAAATTTCGGAAGATGGACAGAGCTTACGAAATAACTTGCAAAAGTGGTGTGAAAAGTGGCTACTGCAGCTCAATTTCAACAAATGCCAAGTCATCCGCTCATGGTCTAGTCGCAAAACGGCGACAGGTGAAAGGATATCCAAAGGTGAGATAAACCTGAGAATCAGAGATTACAGAATGATTCAGATAAAGAAGGCATAACTGTGGGCAAAACCCGTCACAATGAAGACTGTGTCTCTGCAGCGTGACGATCGGTAAGGGCAATCGTCATAAATAGAAAAGCCTGTTCAATAGATAGGATGAAATTAAAACCTTAGGTGATAAGATCAAGCCAGACATCATGGCATTCACAGAGACATGGCAAACTGCGGACTCTGAAATATCCATCAGGGGCTTTCAGTATTTCACAAATGATAGAGTGAACAGAGGAGGAGGGATTATGTTTTGTGTCATCTTTACTACGAAACAGTAACACCTATAATATATGGCTATTATATTTGATATGTTGCTAGTATTTTACCTTTGAAGTTGGGTTTTTTTCCACCTAAAACAAACTCCTTATTTCGCACACTAGTGACCAAGCATAAAATTAAAACGAAGCCAATAGTGACTGCAAAAGAAAGGGTTTGTTTTATGTTTTTTTTCCTGTCTTCCGGGGTTTTGGCGGCACCGAAGATGTGCTTTACAACTAAATATCATTAAGATATAGGCGTAAGGTTAGGGTAAGGGATAAAGGCAAGGGTTGCGGTTGAGGTTTTGGATAC